TAGTGCAGCAGGTTTTTGTGTATTCAGGTTTGTGCAGCAGGTTTATGCATGGCCAGTTAGTCCAGCAGGTATTTCCACCAGGTTTTTCCAGCAGGTTTGTACCTATTCCAGTTAGTGCAGAAGGTTTGTGCATATTCAGTTTCTGCAGCAGGTTGTGCAGGAGGCTTGAGCATATGCACTTGCTGCAGCAGGTTTGTGCGTATTCAGGCTGTGAAGCAGGTTTGTGTATGTCCAGGAGGACATTTGCAGGGGGATGATGCTGTTGCCTGAAATAAGACTCTCAAAACCAATACAGTTTAGAGAGGAGATATTGCTTTATTCGGCACCGGGTGCAAGGTGGAATATTTCCACAAATCAAGCACACCAATGAGTAACTTCTGCGGCATCTATACACACGGTTACATGGGATACACCTAGCTAATACATATTCATTACTCAGTTACTATTTTTATCGCCAAATCTTTATTGCTGAGTCAGCATTTCCTTCTGCGCATGTCCGGGGCTCTCTGGTGGTCTTCGGTGGTCATGGGCACCTTCCTCTAATTGTCTCTTAAGGTATGAAGTCTTTTCAGGACACCAATTTTGCTGACTTGATATTTGCCAAGTTCTTAATGAGGCTTTGTTTCATTTAAATACTTATTTGAAGTTTGGGAAGGCCTTGAAGTGATTAGTTACTAACTTAAAGATTACCTTGTCTCTCTGACAAATACCAGCCTACTTCCCTAATAACTTTCTATATATGTATACACGTCACATATACTATAAAAGTTCACATAACAGTCAAGTAACATATGAGTTTCATTGTAAAATTTGTCTCTTGTAGGCTCCAATGCCTATTCAGATTGTGTATCCGGATTCTGCAAATTCACTTTCTGCAGCAGGTTTTGCTAATTTGTTTTACTTGCATGTTACTGCTGCAGGTTTCTGCATATCACCCAGGCCCTGCGGCAGTGTGGTTGTAGGTGTATGGGCAGGTATGTAGAAAGCATGTCACCTCCAATGGTCTGGGACTTCACTCCTGAACAAGTGCGGGATCCTGATGAAGTGAGAGAATGTTTGAAAAAAAGATGCCCTGCCTATTCCAGAGACACACAACTTACTGCACTGTGCTGGGACCTGGCTGGCACCTACCGAACACTGTTCAGTACTATTCAGCACCCTCAAGGAGAAGAGAGTGTCTCTTGATCTGAAGACAAACCAACAGACACTGTGGCTAAACCAGAGACTCAGCCTTCAACTGTGTCAGTTGCCCCTGTAATTAAGAAGAAACAACGGAAGCAGAAGTCAACTCATTTAGTGAGGGATGAAGAAGCTGCTCCTAAGAGGGAGCAGAAGAGAACATCAGAAGAGGCTGCCTGTTCTGCAGCAGAGCAGTGACAGGAACAGGAGCAACCTGGATGACAACCAGGTATCCAAAGACCCAGATGAAATCCAGTGCACACGGCCCACATGGCAAAAGTTTGTACAAAGTGCACCAACTTCATACACCCTGGCAAGAATGAGCTGGACAGACACAGAGGCACCAACTGTGGATGGACTGGCCAGACAACTCCAAGAATTCGAAGAGAATCTTACTTCCTCCCTACAGACCTGTGTCTCAGCTGTGGAAAAGCTGTCCCAACAATTGTCCCAGCAATTAAAGGATAGGTCTTCCTCACCCATACCAACCAATGTCTCAGCCTTTTTCTGCTCAAGGGAGAGGGTACTGGTGGCACACATCACATGCCACCCCTGCATGACCAGGGGAAGGACATGAGGAAGGGGGATGGTGAGCCTACCTGGAGACTAGAAGCTTGGGTACAGGAACTACAAGAGAAAAACACCAGCCAAAAGGCATCCGTCCAGGAAAATTGCTGCTCCAGTGCCTGTTGGGCAGAGTAGAAGGGCTGGTCTTACTTTTGACTCTGATGAAGGGATTTCTGATTTGGAGTTAGAAAAATAAAGTAATGAATACTCTGACCAGGAATAGAGGGGCCCTGCCTTTGGCCAGGAAGAGGAAAGGGACAACCAGGTTTACTGGACTGTGTAGGTTCGATGGCCTGGCACATCAGCCCCAGGGCAGTATAAAGCTCTAGTGGACACCAGTGCACGGAGTACTCTAATACCATCAGATTAGAAAGGGGCAGAAACCATCTGTAGTTCTAGAGTGACAGAAGGATCCCAACAGCTGTCTGTGTTGGAGGCTGAGGTAAACCTAACTGGGAATGAGTGGCAAAAGCATCCTATTGTGACTGGTCTGGAGGCTCAATGTATCTTTGGCATAGGATATCTCAGAGGAGGGTACTTCAAGGACCCAAAAGGGTACTGTTGGACTTTTGGTATAGCTGCCTTGAGTATGGAGAAGAGTAAGCAGCTGTCTAGCTTGCCTGGTCTCCCAGGGGATCCGGCTGTGGTGGGGTTGCTGCAGGTTAAAGAAGAGCAGGTGCCAATTACTACCATGACAGTGTACTGGCGACATCACACCAGTTGAGACTCCCTGGTTGCCATCCATAAGCTCGTTAGGCGATTGGAGAGTCAAGGAGTGATCAATAAGACTCATTCACCCTTTAATAGTCTCACATGGCCAGTGCAAAAATCTAACAGAGCGTGGAGGCTAACATTGGACTATTGTGGCTTGAATGAAGCCATGCCACCACTGAGTGCTGCCGTATTGGACATGCTAGAACTCCAATGTGAACTGGAGTCAAAGGCAGCCAAAAGGTATGCAACAGCTGATACTACAGCGTGTGTTGTTCTGGACTTGGGGCCTGAAGTGGCTCTGCTGGGTTGTGTTGCCTCCTTGAAAGCCAGGACAGTCCTGTCAGAAAAGCCCTGTTTGCACCTGACCCATTGCCTTCTGGTATGCAGCAGACTGTGGTGCTCATGAGGGTTGTGGCCGGAAGGGGCAAGCCATGGAGTACACTGTGTGTTCTTGACAAGAACTTAATGCTACCCCCCCACCCTGCTTTTTCTTTAGAAGAATGGTTTGCTCTATTAGAGTCTTGCGGGTCCCTGTCCTTTGGATTGAAACTGATTTTAAATTCTTTTAGAAAACTTTTTACTGCAGTATTGCTCTCCTTTTCAAGCCAATTCCAACTGTAAAAACCTTTTGCAGCCTTTTGTGTTCAGGTTTTTTTGGTGGGGGAAGGGTATTTTGGTTTTAAGTTCAACTCTTCCTCAGGGATGTGAGACAGGTGTATTTTTTACATCAGAACTTCCCTACTGGGCTTTTGTTGAGCAATTTCTGTTTGGCCAAGCCCTGGGAAGAGGGTTTGATCACTTTTTCTTCCTGTGAAGAAAAGCCCTGCTTCCCTGAAGGAAAGCTCTGGGTTTCCTAATGGGATGTGGCTCCTTCTCCCCTGTTGTTCAGGGTGTCAAGCTGTGGCTTGTCTTGCTCTGCAGAACAGGGATCTGCCTGATCACTGCTGAAGACAGATGAGATTGGCAGCCAAACACAGCACAGGTAGTCTCCAGTCAGGGAACATTTATTGAGCAGGGTATGGGTGGTGAGGGGGTTAGGGTGCCCTGTGAGGCAGGAGGCCAGGGACTGCCCTGCACTAATCAGTCATCTCAGCACAAAGAGGTCACAGGTGCAATAAACTTTATCTGCCAGACTGAACACCAGAAGGGCATGCACACATTTCAGGGCACACACATGCTGCAGCCATCTGATGCAGTCCCAGAACCCTAGTACCAGCCCAGCTCTGCTGGCTGGAGATGCAGGCTGTGGATCAGCACAGAGTAATTAATAACTCGTTCTTTTGTCATTGGGATTATGATCCAAATATCACCATTCTAGTCATGCTTTGACTGTGCTCCAAGCAGAGCTCAGCCCTTCTTACAGGCTGCATCCAAGGACAAATGCAGGATTTCAGCTTTGTCCTGGAGCTCAGACCACATATGGCAGCATGGGGCCAGGAGCCCAGCAAGTGTTAACTAGCTTCTTTCTACGGTGGACTGTCTGTAACCTCAAGTGGGAATGGCCCCTGGCCTCCCTAGGGAGGGGTAGCAATCCAGGGATCCTGGTTGGGATCTTGAAAGCAGCAAAACAAAGCAAATAACAGAATTGCAGGCCTGGACTGCAGGAGAGCTCATTTTGGCTTTATCTGGGATGTGCTTGGCAGGACACCCTGGGAGATTGCACTGGAGGGCCGTGAGGTCCAGGGCTGCTGGGTATTCTCCAAGGAGCTCTCGTCAAGCCTGGAGGCAGCATGACAAGCTTGTGTATCTGTCAGTTGTCAGCATCTTAGCCTTTTTCCCTCTGGAAAGGAACCACACTCCTCCCACCGAGCCAGCAGAAACAGCCCATTTAGCAGAGAACCTCAGTGCTGGGCATGCAACAGCACTACATGAAGTAAGAGAATACAGACCATCTCCAAAAAATGCAGGCACTGGCGCTTTGTAGCATCCATTTCATTTCTACTCCAAACAACTCTGGCTTTGGAATTCTTTATTTGGTTTGAAGTATACTGAACACATATCCTATGTCAAAGTTCTTCCAGGTCTCTTCCCAAGCTTCCCTCCGACCTATTACCTGTCTAGATGGATAGCCAGTAATCCAGAACATTACTGGATATAAGATCATGGTCAACTGAAGCTACTAAAAGAAGGAAGAAGTTGGCAGCATCAGATATGACTGCAGGGACACACTTCTCCCCTCTAACTCTCCTGTTCTAGGCTCCTGGAATACATGTAAAGCAACAAGACTTCTGTCAAAATATAGGGGAGGGAGAAACAATGTTCCCTAGGTGTGTGCCATCCAGAACTGAAGTCTCTTCAGGTGCTGTGCAACCCCACCACTGAGCTAGAATTGCACTGCATCATGCAGCACCTGGAGAGATACCACTCACTGCTTTCCATCAAGCTGGGGCAGATAAAGCCCTTATCCTGTAGATGTGCTCTTTGCTGCATGGGGCAAGAGAAGAGGCACAGCTAGTATCTTCACTGTAAGGCAATGCAGGGCCACCCTTCAGCCAGGAGTAGGTCTTGCAGAGTTTTTTTCATGTCTCTTTTCTGAAGGGTCTGCATTTCCTCCTTCACTCTAAAGCAGCTAGTTCTTCCAGGAGCTGCTCTTTCTCCTGCTGCAGCTCCTGCACCCGCTGTTTGTTCTGCTCTAGTCTGTCCTCCAGCCACTGAAGGAGCGGCCCACTGATGGCAGACATCTGGCTGCAGAGGTTCTTTGTGAACACTGGGAAGAGCAAGAACATATCATACCAGTGCAAACACACAAAAGACTCATTGTGCTACAAAAACCCCAAAGCCAAGAGCATTAGAGACAGCCAAGGAAAACCCTCCAACATCCTGGCCAAGGCAACCAGACATCCCCACAGGAAAATCAGAATCAGCAGCTTGCTAAATAGGGAAACAAGCTATTTCAATCTCTCCTTTAGACACCCAGAGGAGGGATGACAGACCTACAACAGAAATCTGCATGTAAGTCATCATTGATGCTAATTAATTTATAAATTCAGAAGCAAAGAATGCCTCACTTATTGAACAGGTGAGAATGGACAATGGGATATTTATCTTAGAACAGAAGTAGGATTAGGATTCACCCTATCTCACTGGCAAAAGCAAAGATGTCATATTCATGTAACATACAGGAAGCACCAGGAGATGCAAGTATGCATATAGATCAGCCAGACACTACTTTTAAGACTCACCAAACCCAAGATCCCCTTTCTGTTCTAACAGGAAAAACAAAAAAACCCAAACCCCAAAACCAACACAAAAAACTCCAAACAAACCCGAAGTCTGTTGTAATTTTAACTAATTGTACAAAGGTCAAAAGATACAACAGCATTCATAAACCCCAGAATTATGTCATTTTACAGCCCTTGATGTTTTCCTTTAAAGTATTTAGTTACAATTCTGTTCCTCCACTAGATTTTATGTAACAAGTTAATGGTCTCAGGGAATTCCCTGGGTTACACAGTGTTTGTGACTGGAAATGAACTGCATGGCAAAGAAAAAGACAAACATTTGTGCTTTTATAGTTATTTACAAGTGCCTTTTATTGCAAAGGGAGGACTGTTACCCAGCTGTGATCTACTGTCCCCCAAAGTTAGAACCAAACCAACCCCTGCTCAAAGCTACTGCTTTGACTCTGGAAGCAGCATCCTGGATTCTTGCATGCAAAAAAGGAATCCTTACCTGAGCCATTATGAATCTTGGTTACGGAGTCTAGATGGGTGAGGCTACGAGAATGAACAGAATGCAGATTAGTGACGAGACAGAAGTGAACTGCATATTAGGCAAACCCAGGCTATAGAACCAGCTACCTACAAGCCACTGATACTGGAGGTACATGTAAACCTCGTCACTTGTTGGAGCCCTGTACATTCACAAGGATAACAAAGAGCTTACAGCACAGAAACATCAGTGTTGAGCACCAGAGGCAGGAAAAAAAAAATCTGATATTTAATATAATTTTTCAGACTACCTCTCTGCACTCTTACCCTGGTTAAACACTAATTACTGTCACACACAGACACATCACTGAAGTGCCACCATTAGTTTCACACATGCTCTAGCTCTTTTTGTTGCAGCAAAGGAGCAGTTATGCTTAGGCTCTTGTGTGCAAGGCTGAGAGAACTTGAACTCCTTAATGGGAAGGTATTCAATCAGTTCTCCTACAAAGGCATATGAGATGCTAATACTTCTTATTTTCTATACCGCTGCTAAGGTTATGGTACTTTAAGTACAGCAACAGTAGAACATGTTAGCAAAGACAGTCTTGGAGAGGGGTGCAGCCCCAGTGTTGTTACCTGTGAATTCTCCTGTAGGCATCTTGCTCTTCTTGGCAAAGGATCTTGGGCAGCTCTACAGCTGATTCCAGACACACTTTTCCAATGGTTTCATGGGGGACAACATGAATAGGAATTTCAATCCTTTCATATCTAAAATTGTAAAGATACAATTAACTTCAAAGCAGCAGAGGGAAAAAAAAAAAAAGGACTTCTACAAACCAGCAACAGTCTGTCCAACAGGTGGCATTGCTGCAGGTTTACTTTTGGGAACACATGCCTGAGTTGATAGGCAAATGGAAGGCTTTTATAGCCCCACACTTGTCTTACATTTTAACGATAAAATGCTAAAGCAACTAGATGGCTGTGAGAGACCGAAAGAGTTAATGTCTCAAACATTGTGGCAGGTCAAGTTAAGGTCTCCATAGGGATAAATTAGGGTCTGCATAGCACCACTGAGCCACAGGTGAGAAGCAGATTAGCAGGGAGCCAGGAGGCATGCGGATGTGCAGTTCTGCCTTCTGATGGCTGAAGGCCATGCGCAGTTCATTTGAGGAAGGGAAGGGGCTCATGACTCTCGTTACCACCCCCTCACAATGGCGCCTGCACAGAATCACAGAATCGTTTAGGTTGGAAAAGATCTTTAAGATCATCCAGTCCAACCATTAACCTACACTAGCAAGTCCACTCTAAACCAATCAAGGGTAGACTAGACTAAACCATGTCCCGAAGTGCCACATCTACCCATTTTTTGAACACTTCCAGGGATGGCGATTCCACCACCTCTCTGGGCACCCTGTTCCAATGCCTGACTACCCTTTCTGTGAAGAAATTTCT